TCTAAAAACCTCTTTCCTTCCTTTCTGCTCACTGTTGCAAAACCCTGGCTGTATCCAAAATCTGCCCCATACCCTTATATAGTGCATTATTTGAGGGAGCAGCCGTTTGTAGTGGTCTCCAAAACACTAGTGGATGTTTTGAAGGGCACTTAATCCATCCCATAATACACCGTAATCAAGTCTACAACCCATGTACACTCAACAGTTAGAAAATACCCATAATGCACTGTGAGAGTTTGCGTGCCAAATGAATTTCCATATCGGACCACAAGATGGCATCCATAATAAAATCCGATTGTTGTAAGTTTCAAAATAATTCATTGATTTTCTTTTTGGCTTAGTCACTTTAATAATCTGGGATCGCAACAGCAGAATGAACCGCCAACTTATCCAGCATATGTTTTACGCAGCGGATGCCCTTCCACCTGCAACCTATCACTGGGAAACATCCAAACACACATATTCACACATACACTACAGACAGTTTAGCCTACCCAATTCCCCTGTCCCGCATGTCTTTGGACTTGTGGGGGAAATCAAAGCACCCGGAGGAAACCCATGCGAGTACAGGGAGAACATGCAAACTCAACACAAACATGGCAACTGACCCAGCCAGGGCTCAAACCAGCGACCTTCCTGCTGTGAGGCAATCGTGTTACCTACTGTGCCACCGTGCTGCCCAGTTTCAAAATATATAATTTAATTCAATTAATGCATACATTAAAGAAGTCAAAATAATTAGTTTCATTGCTAACAAACAGCCTGCTAAATGTTAAATAACTATCACAGGGATTGAACAAGAAGATAAAAATCTGATCTAATCTGTGAGATTTATCAATCAGTAAACACAAACAAAATGGCATTCAATCCATTCATTCACTTCTTCTAGTGGACTAATGTTTAGAACAGTGAATGAGGGTGTAGAGGCGATTTCGGATATGTCTTTCTACTCAAAACTACTGGATTTCTTAACATACAACCATTTTGAGTCTCGGGTACATCTCGAACTGGCTTTCACACCCTCTTTAAATGACCAGAGAGAAAGTCCTGTCATATCTAAGGCTTTCATTCAAGCTTAAACCCCATTTTATACTGGGACATCTTGGCGACTTACTGACAATGCAGCTCCAGAGCGGCTCGCTTTGTGAGGCTGGGCTAAAACCATCGCTGTCCAATACTGGATTAGGAACCATGGATTGGCAGGCAGAGAAAACAGCTTTTATACTTAGAGAGTAAATCGGCAACGGTTTGAGCTGAAAGATTGAAAGAAGGAGAAAGAAAGTCTGCTTATTTGTGTTTCGGACCACCACAAGGGAGCGATAATAAAAGATTCCGATATGAAACTTGAAACCAAGTTTAACATGCAAATGTGACCAGAATGTATGAAAAAAGAATTTATTAAAGCAATCTGGCTGTGAGTAAAAATGAGCAAAAGGAGAGCACACACCAGCTCAAACTATCAGCTCATTAAAGGAGCATATGTGAATTTTGTGGCCAGGAATTTGGCTATGATTTTCACTTGGCCACCACATCAGTGCAACAGAAAGAGCTGGCATTCACTCTCAGGCACACACACATACACATACACACAATAACACACTAAAACATGTATGAAGTCTCCACAAATTTATGGTTTGTATAAAAAATTTAAAGAGAATCAAGTCTCTGCCATTAATAAATAATCAAAGCGATTATAACCCTCTATCATTAAGCATTTTAAAAACCAGAATCATTTTAGGTGCCATTTTATGACCAGAATTGTTTTTGTAAACCAAACACACACTGCAACTAGTGGAGAATTAGTCAAAAATATACCATGATACGCGCAGTCCTATTGTCTTAGGTCTTTAAAAAAATCTAACATACTGATGCTGTAAAGGAGCAGTTACTGACTTACTCTAACTTGCTTGATGAACTGCTTTCATTATATCTGAAAAAAAAAATGAACCAAGGACTGCTACTTTATCAAGTCGTGCCATAAAAAGTCATTAAAAGGTCTAGATAAACACATTTTAGAAAGAAAATTCAATAAATATACAATGAAACACACAACTGAGTTATTATACTCTTCTGAAAATCCCAGAGGGCACTAAATGCAGTGAGTACTGCAATAAGTACTTCTTTATTCTTAAAAAATTCTCACAATTGCCTACTAAAAGAAATTGTTAATGGAAGCATTCAGAAGAATCAAAACAAATTTCCATCCCTCATAATCATCTAAAAAATCCTCATCTCCTCATTTGTCTCTGCAAAACAAAGCCAAACATATATGTTGCTGTGTCAAATGTTGCTATGGTATATTGACTAGCTCGACATTTTCTTTCCTCTCTTCAACAGTGAATCACAAGCTCAGAGTCAGTTTCCATATAAATGTTCATATCATGAAACAACACACACAAGAAGCAACTGCCTGCAAAAGCCTCATAAATCCAGACAGTGCAAATACAGGTACTATTAGCGAGAGCACAAATAAGGCTCATGTGCTACGTGCGCTAACACACTCGTATTACAGCCACTTATTTGTATCAGGTTCTCCAACTGCTCATCATGTCAAACATCCACAGACCTCTTGCAGAGAGAGTTCACATTTCTCACACTTCTCACACATCTGCAGACTCCTCACTCTTAAATACTGACCGAAGACCAGCATTAAACGCTCGATCTTAAAAACAATGTGTTGCGAGGTTCGAGCAGCTTGGGACGTTTTTGTTCTGCAACAGTCGGAAACCGAAGGTGTGGCTGCAGTGGATTATGAGCTTTCCCTGCATAGCATTTTTTATTGTTATTGTTTTTGGCTCAGAAGCACGGAGCACTGTAACCTTTCTCTCGTCCCACCTTCCAATCCCCCTGCTTCAGATAACACTAACCACAAAAATCCAGTGGAACCAATTACCAGTCCTCCTGATGCAGTTTGCCTTGCAAATCAGGCCTTAACCCATTCAATAGGCAGGCATGTGCAGACGCTGACACATGCAGACACTCATTTCACACTCATAGGCTTCATGCGATTTGCACTGGATGGTGTCGAATGGTCAAACAAAACTACTAATCTGCTTGGTAAAGCATGCAAAGACAGATTTTGTTTATTGCTAGGAAAAAATAAGAGGAGGGCTGGTTGGCAAGACACAATTTTAAGTGTTTTATGTATATTATGGCTAATTCACACTGCACAGACAGATGTTGAACAACAGGCACTTTGTCGGATCAGTGTGTTACTGACATGTTGCCGTTGGTCGGCCCAGTGTGAATTGGCCTTTAACTGTGCTTTGGTTGGTTGCATACTGCTCCAAGTAGAAAAGAGTAATCTTTAAAACAAAGATTAAAAAGTTTTTGCATTGATACCATACAAAGACCATTTGGGGTTCTGCAAGGTCTATAAAAAACCTGTTATAAAAATAATTTTCTCTTTGAAGAACTTGTTTGTATAATTGTTCTTCATGGAATGATACATACTTTTTAAAATGTTGTTTTATGAATATGTTAACGAAGATGTAGGTTTGGCCTATATTTTACACAAATTGAAGCTATAATATACTACAGTACCATCTTTTATAGTATAGGAGCAAGTGAAGTGATGACTATTTTAAAGCGTATGAGTAACAGCAATGGCTTTACAAGAAATAAAATCTAAGCATGTGTTCTTGTGATTTCTGAGAACAGAATTCTCACGAACATGGACATGTCTAAAAGTTACAGAACAGGAAAAAGGTGCAAACACAAAAGGCAATGTTTATGCATGGACACACAGACCTTTCTCACACCTTTTTACTGTTGTAGGTCATGTTTCACAGGCCATGAGGGTAAAAATAAAACCTGGCTGTAGATTTCACTGGTCCTTTGGAGTTTGTTCACTGTATCATTAAAACAGCATCCAATCTCTCATACTGGAAAACTCTGCACATATTTATGCATTAAACAGCTAAGCTGTACTATAAACATTGTTCAAGATTACTATAGAATAGAAATAAATTTCTATTATGAAATGTTCAGATAAACTCATCTCAAAACCAAAATAAAAGATGTACTGTATAGATAATTGCAATGCAGAAATGTCCTGCCAATTTTTAGCTTTATGTAAAATATAAAAAAGATGATTCTGGTGAGGAAATATTTGAGTTTTAATTCATAAGTCATTTTGAAATTTAATAAGTCATTAAGATCTTTTTCCTGTCAACACTAAATCCAATGGGAAAGATGTTCCAGTAAATTGGAAATACAATAGAAATGAAAGGTTAAAAATAGTATAATCAAATGTGGAACTAACATTTACATCATATATAGTCTTGCTGTTTTGGCATTTGAAAAGTAAAGCAACGATGCCACATTGTTGACATTTCTTGATTTTGAAAGGTCCCTCCAGGTAAAGTGGGCAAGTATTCATCAACATTTATACAAATTAATTCTCAAGGGACGTTTCATTCATCAATAAAAACATCTAATGTCTTTATTAATGAAGTGGAAAAGACATTTACCAACATCCATATGTAGTGTACATACAAACCAAATCAGTCTCAAGAGACCCTTCATTCATTCAGAAACACATCAGATGCCTTGTGCTGTCATATATAACAAGCTTTGACTTGTACTCTGTACCACAATCTAAACAGGCTGCAACATACGGTAGATTCTTTGGATTTGAAATACATCAAAGATGGGTCACCGATAACAAATAAACTTCCCACAGCAAGACCTATCCAACCCCACCCACATACACACACACACACATATATATCTAAAGCACTCTAGATTTACCCAAATGCACTATGACATCTATTAGAGGAGGCGTTGAAAAAGGTTCATTACACAAACTAATACAGACACACTATTGTGTTTGATTCCTCCCACACAACTTTCTATCAGCTTGCTCTTGAGGACACCTGGGTGAAGCTGAATATGCCTATATGTGACTGAAAGTCTGAAGAGATGTCACTCTCTCATCTGATAGCTTAATTTGTTTAATTTGTTGAGGATGTTGGAGGATGAGAGAGAGGAGCACTTACCGGGTGTCTACCCTGTGGGTACATGGTCAACGGAGGGATGCCGGTTTGACGGGCAATGCACTGACCCTCCGTACTCTTGCGTTCCCCCTCTACCAGGGGACTGAGCCCCGGATTGAGCTCGGGAACCCGGCTCTGTCCTTTCGGAGCCGCAGAAGACAGTCAGTGCATCCGACAAGGAGTCCTCCAAAAACAGATCCCCTTACTTCACACTTGGACTGGATTTCCCCCGAGAATTCCCTGACGTCCCACTTTGTTACTGTCCGACAGATCAGGAGAATGGGAGAAGCAGGGAATTCCGAAGAATCACGTCCAGCTCTCCTTAGACTTGTCCTTCTGCAAATGTCCCCAACAAGCTACAAAAACAAACACGTATCTCCATTCGAATCTTCCAACCTTGTAACAGTACCTCAAAACTACAGGGCTTCTTTGCAGAGGTCTAAAAAGACAAGGGAGAAGGAGGACCGGGCTTTGTTTTTAATCTAAATCTAGAGAAGAAGAAAAAAAAAACACACAGGAAAGCAGGAAAGAACAGCAGGTCACTGGAAGATCCAGCAGGCTTTTCAGCAGCGAGCCCTAGACTGTAATATATTGTGCCTGTTGGCTTCAACACAAACACGACAGCCTGCTCAAGCTGCAGTTAAGGTGGACCGGCTGAGATAGATGGAGGATAGATAGACGGAAAGATAGAGACAGAAATAGACACCAATACATGTGTGCAACCAATGATACGATTTCTTGTTATCACTGTAATCATTACACTGTGAAGTGAAGATTATGCAGACAAACCTATAAAAGTGAAAGGACACACATTAGAAATCTATTTTTCCTTGATTAATTGAAGAGCAAATTTATTTGTTTGGTTAAGTGTCTCATATTCTTTTACTATGGAAAGACCACTTACCTCAGTAATCACTCATATGTCTCTTCTAGATTAGCTCTCGTCAATTTTTCAATGTGTGCTCCAATTTGTCCAGTCTGATATCAAAATTAAAGATTTTAATATGTACTCATAATTTTTCTCATCAAATTATCTGCATTATGCTATTTACAGTTAAAACACAAATATACATGCAATGTATTTTAAGATTTGTTTAACATAACTGTTTACTTACTGTGTTAAGTTGTCTCATTTGGCTCTCAACGTATTCTTCCCTTATTTTGAAAAACGTTCACAAGCAAAACCTGTAGGCTAAAAGGGGGATAGTTAACTTAAAAATTAAAATGTGCTCACTGTTTACTTTGTCAAGTGTTTTAAAGCCTTTATGAGTTTCTTCTGTTGAACATAAAAGAAGATATAGTGAAGAAAGCTGAATACCTGTAATCAAGGACTTCCATAGTAAAATTTGTAATGGTTATAAGTGTCCAGCTTTCTTCAAAGTGTCTGCTTTTGTGTTCAACAGAAGAAACTCAAAGGTTTGGAACAAGAAAATGTGATTAAATGATGATATTTTTGGGTGAACTATCCCTTTAACCGAGATCACAAATAAGTCTCTTAAGCTTTGAAAAGAGCAAGCTCTGCGCATTTAAACATGATAAAACAAAGGATCTAAAAAAAAAAAAAAAAAAGAATGAAAGAGAGATGAGGAATGAGCCAATTTGCCAGCAATTCTGTGAAAGCACCATGTGTGTCCATCCCCATATTTGCACGTACGCCTCCAACAGATGAGCATTTATCTGCACTTTGAGAAATAAATCGGCAAATTTAGTTGTGATCGTATCATTTATGATTTGATTTAATACAGAGCAAGCTTACTTCGCTTGTTTATGTGGCTGAAAAGACACACAAACCCCTACTAGACTAGTATCGTTCTCATCTCTTCATCTTTCTCTTGGTCTCCTCTGTCATCCTAGCGTGATCTCAGAGGTGTCCCTTGTTAGTCATCTCTCTGTCTGCGACACCTCTCAGGTCAGGGATTGCCCTAATCGCCGTTATCTAATTGTGCGGATTAGAAAGGTAATTATTCACATGACTCTCTCCCTCTTACTGATACGTGATGAAGCTGGCTGAGTACAAACAGACAGGAAAATGACCGATGGGTCTTGACAATAATCTGGCCTTAGATAGACGAGCTTCTGCATCCTGGAATGGGTAAAGGGTAAGCAGGCTTAACATAGGATCTGAAATAAGACAATAGGAAAAGAAGAAGAGGAAGGACTGGGTAAGGCATCACAATTGCTGCATTTTTATTTTATTTATTTATTGCCAACATCAGGAACTTATGGCTATTTCATGGAAGAATAAATATATACATAAAAATATTATATGATTAAAATCAAATTCGTATTACAATAAAAAGTTATTTAGACAAAAATAAAAATGGAAATAATATACAAAAATGTATTAAAAGTTAAATATTTTTTTTTTGTTAAATTTTTGATAAATAACTTAACATTCTTCTGGGTGAATTTTTAAAAATGTCCATTAAAGTACTCTCCTTATAAAAAAAAATTCTAATAATATTTTAACTTCCACATTCCAACAAAACATGTTTCATGATAAGAGCAGCTTAGCAGTTATTACATTTAGGTCATGCTGTCCAATTCAACATCTAGTATAGACCAGGGGTGCCCAAACTCGGTCCTGGAGGGCCGGCGTCCTGCAGATTTGAGCTCTTTCTTGACTCAACACACCTGCACGGATGTTTGTAGAAACCCTAGAACTTAATTAGCTAGCCTAGGTGTGTGTGATTGGGCTTGAAAGTAAACTTTGCAGGACACCGGCGCACCAGGACCAAGTTTAGGCACCCTTTGTATAGACAGTCTGTTCATGCCTGGTCTCAAAATTATAATTTGCAAAGTGTCTTTCATTTATTTCTGGGCTAATTTCGTGAAATTTATTATTTATGCAGTTGTCCCATTCCCTTTGCCATGTTTCGTTTATATACAGATTAATTGTAGGTTTCAGGTCATCAGAAGGAATTAAACATTGTCACTTTCAAGGAGATATGCTGCTCAATCTGCAAGTTTCCATGAAGTCAGCTGCATTTTTAAATACCAGTACTTTATTTGATTTGAAGTTATTCTGGCTTTTTAACATTTCTGTCCCATATATGCACATAAACACGCAAACAAATATGCTGTACACTAGGAGAGGCAGTAGAGAATATTAAAAAGCTCTTTGCATGTACATTACTCCTAATAAAAACAAACAAAGCTAATGCTACTCATGTTTATGTTTCAGTAACATAAGTAGGACTAAGTAGGTACATTTACATATTTTTATCCTATTTCTAACTACATACAGTTGAAGTCAGAATTATTAGCCCCCCTTTGAATTTATTTTTCTTTATTAAATATTTACCAAATGATGTTTAATAGACCAAGGAAATTTCAACAGTATGTCTGATAATGTTTTTTCTTCTGGAGAAAGTCTTATTTGTTTTATTTAGGCTAGAAAAAAAGCTGTTTTTTTATTTTTTAAAAAACATTTTATGGTCAGAATTATTAGCCCCTTTAAGCTATATTTTCATCTATAGTCTACAGAACAAACCATCTTTATACAATAACTTGCTAAATTAACCTAACATGCATAGTTATCCTAGTTAAGCCTTTAAATGTCACTTTCATCTGAATAGAAGTGTCTTGAAGAATATCTAGAAAATATTATTTACTGTCATCATGGCAAAGATAAAAGAAATCAGTTATTATAAATGAGTTATTAAAACTATTATGATTAGAAATGTGATGGGAAAAATCACTGTTAAACAGAAATTTGGGTAAAAAATAAACAGGGGGGCTAATGATTCAAGGGGGTTAATAATTCTGACTTCAACTGTACTATGGTATAAATGGCTTGTCATTACCTTGATGAGCACAATTTTCCACAATAAATCGAGTTTAGCATCTCATATTTGATCCAGTGCAGCACCAGATGGGATTCGTTCCCAAACAATGTCATGAAAACATTTCTTGTCCTAATAAGTTCAAAATAAAAAGAAAACACATTAGTAGCAGGTGGACATATACTGTACCATATTACAAACTGTATTTGTAGAAAGCCATTAAACCGTATCTGAGGCGAGAGTCCTGTCAGCTTTTAAGCGGGAAAATAAGGTGGAAAAAACCAACCACGATGTCGCGAAATAAATAATTTTAATGACTCCACTATTTATTTGTGTTTAATACATAAAACACGCTATTAAAATATCAAGAGAGTGAATTACATGAGATAAATCAGACCCCTCACCTTTTCTCCAGACCACCTTAAAACTTCGCGGCTGTCGAGCTGTCTCCAGCGCTACGCTGATTGGCTGTAACGACCCATCCGTTCCATCCAATCAAACCAGCAGGGACCCACGTTGGAGCTTGACATCGAGGCAAGAACCAACCAATGGCAGCGTTTGCGTTCGCTGGTTGGCTGGGGTGCGTGAGGAGGGCAGTGTGCAGTCTTCAGGGATTGTGGGCATTGAAGTTCCAATTATTCCGCACCCCCGCCGCTCGCGCCCCCATCTGCCAATCACGCAGCAGAAATGATCACCTATGACTGCAAATGAAAAATGATCAACATGTAGCACCTAGTGTCGACTGCCTCGAACAATTAGTCGAAATAACAAATAAACACTCTCTTTATTTGGTGAGTCATGGTGGCTCTATGATAACCTTGTAAATTAATGAGCAGATTGCTTATTAAACAGATGAAAATTCTGTCATCATTATTCTGTCATGCTGTTCCAGACCTTTATGACTTTTTCATCTGTGCAACAAAAATAAAGAGAATCATAATAGCTCTCATCTTTATTATTTTCCACAATACTGTTTTGTTAGGTTAGATGGTTTGAACATCTAGTGCACTGTAAATAATACAGTGAAGATAACTCGGATAGTATTGAGGGCATTTGGGGGACTTTATATTGTACTTTTTAGCTACAAAAGCCTAATATTTAAAATATTTAGAGTTAAATTAGATATACTCCACAATAAAATAAAAACAACATAATAATTAGCCTACTACATTGTAAGGACTTAAATATTTAATATAACATTTGTATATTTTAAAATGTGTATACATATATACATACATACATATATATATATATATATATATATATATATATATATATATATATATATATATATATATATATATATATATATATATATATATATATATATATATATATATACACACACACACACACACACACACACACACACAAACAGTTGAAGTCAAAACTATTGGCCTCCCCTTAAATTTTTTCTTTTTTTGATATTTCCCAAATGATGTTTAACAGAGCAAGGGAATCTTCACAGTATGTCTGATAATAGTTTTTTCTTCTGGAGAAAGTCTTACTTGTTTTATTTCAGCTGGAATAAAAGCAGTTATTAAGTTTTTAAACATCATTTTAGAGTCAAAATTATTAGCCCCTTTAAGCTATATATTTTCCTTTGATAGTCTACAGAACAAACCATCATTATACAATAAATAGCCTAATTACCCTAACCTGCCTAGTTAACCTAATTAACCCAGTTAAGCATTTAAATGTCACTTTAAGCTGTATAGAAGTGTCTTGAAAAATATCTAATCAAATATTATGAATTGTCATCATAGCAAAGATAAAATAAATCAGTTATTACAAATGAGTTATTAAAACTATT